TCTGTGAGGGCCAGGAAACCTGTATGGTGGAAGAGGGAGGCAAACTCCTCAGCTATTCAGAGCCCCATGTCCCCCAAAAAAGTGGAGAGCAAGGGGTTTGTGACTCTCCCCAAACTTTCATCCAGCATTGTGTGCTGTCCTAGAGACTGGGGCTGGGCTGGGCACTGGGCTGAGAAGGTGTCCCTCAGGAGGCTGCAGAGGCAGGTGGGTGTGGAGTGCAGGACTTCAGCACTCGGGACAGGGGACTACCTAGCCACAGTATTGCTCACAGTCCCATAGATCAGCTGGGGGACCCCAGGAGCCTCCAGCTCCAGAATGGGGACTCTGGGTGGGGGGCGATGAGCTGGGGAACACAGGGCTGGGAACACTGAGCTATTAATGTGCCTCTTGAAGTGCAGAGCAAGGAAGCAAGGTGCTCTGATAGAGTCCTCCCCCCAGTGCACCCTGAGTGCTGCAGACAACACGTGCCCTCTGTGCTGCCCAGACCCTTCTGCCACCTGGCTGCAGAGGGTTTTTGTGACCCAGGAAGGATGCCTGGACTTTGATCCCCATTCCAACCCACCTTCCCTCTTCGGGGGGGGGGGGGCGTCCCATAGAAGTGGTCTAGCACCTGCCTTTGCACCAGGAGAGGCATATTTGGGGAGTGTGATGGTTTTGCTTTGCTGTATTTTGATCTCCATAGTCTCTTTAACAGCCATCAGTCAGAGACACTTCAAAGTGGGGGGCAGTTCTTACACTGCCCACCTCTGCCCCAGAGGGGACCGTTGGAAGTCTGGCACCTCCTAGGACCAAAGCGTGGCTCAGCACATTCCTGGAAGTGCCAACCTTAGGTCCCTTCCCTCTTCCTCCCTCCCCTTCCCTCTCTTCGCCAGCTGCGGAGAGGCCCGTGGTCCAAAGCAGGGAGAACCACCCTCACCCCTGGCACGTTCGGGCACAGAGAACACAGGCCACACAGGCTGCAGCCCACTCAGACTTTATTCAAAGATCAGGGTGTGCGGGTGGAGGAGCGCCAAGGGGCCCCGACCCAGGGCAGGGGTGGCCGCGGCTCCAGCTTAACGGTACTTGGAGACCAGCACGGTGCTCACGGAGGCCAAGAACTTGTCCAGGGAGGCGTGGATGGCAGGGGTGAACTCATTGGGGTGGTGGCTGGCCAGAGTCACCAGCAGGCAGTGGCTCAGGAGCTGTGAAGAGAGCGGTGTTAGGGGGCGTTAGGGCGAGGCCGCCCCCCGCCGCGCCGCGCCGCACCACCTGCTGGACCCCACGGGAGCGCTCGGCCCAGATCCCTGCGGGGCATCCCAACTCACCTTGAAGTTGACGGGGTCCACACGCAGCTTGTAGGCGTGCAGGTCGCTCAGGGCGGACAGGGCGCCGGGCAGGTCATCCATGTGGGCCACGGCGTTACCCAGGGCGTCGCCAACCTTCTTGCCATGGCCTTTGACCTGGGCAGAGCCGTGGCTCAGGTCGAAGTGGGGGAAGTAGGTCTTGGTGGTGGGGAAGCTCAGGAACATCCTGCGAGGAGAGGAGGGTGAGAGGCGGGTGGGGGTGTGGGTTGGGGGTGGGGGTGGGGGTGCAGGGCAGGGTTATGGGCCTGGGATTCGGGCGAAAGCACTGGCTGGCCTCTTGGGGCAGGTGCGCTCTCTGGACCCCGAGAGCCTGGGATGCGGGCGCCGAGGCGAGGCTGCAGGCGGAGGGCCGGGGTCGGGCGGCCGGGGTCGGGGTGGAGGCAGGCACAGGCGGTCCTCACCTCTCCAGGGCCTCTGCGCCATAGTCGCCAGCCTGGCCGCCAACCTTGTCCCAGGCGGCCTTGATGTTGGTCTTGTCAGCGGGAGACAGCACCATGGTTGCTTCTTTCTGGGTCTGTGCGAGGACCAGAAGGGTTGCGGGCGGGGAGAGTGAGGAACTTTTATGCCCGGGGCGCGGGGGGCACGCCCGCCGCGGCCGCGCTCATTGGCTGACGCGATCGCAGGAGGTGGGGCCGAGGGCACCGTCCGGAGAGAGACAGCCGGCGGCGCTTCCAAGTCCCCCTCGCCCTCTGGGTCCCCCGCGGGCTGAGTTGCAGCTCTCCAGGGTCCCTCTACTGCCGCGCCAGAGCTCCGGTTCCCACACGGGCTCGGAGCCGCCCAATCCCCGTGCACCCGCGTGTGGCCGGGCCGGGTGAGCCTCCAGGTGCCTGTCTGCCTGTCCTGGAGGGGAGCCCAATTTTTCTGAATTGAAACATGCTGCCTTCCAACCAGACTTTGCCCAGTACCAACAGCTTGGGGTGGGGAACCTATTTTCTGCCAAGGGCCTTTTGGGTATTTATAACATCATTGGCTGGCCATCCAAAATTATCACATTAAAATTAGTCTGGCCCTCGCTGGTTTGGCTCAGTGGATAGAGTGTTGACCTGCAGGCTGAAAGGTCCCAAGTTTGATTCCAGTCAAGGGCACATGCCTGAGTTGCAGGCTGGATCCCCAGTGGGGAATGTGCAGGAGGCAGAGGATCAGTGATTTTCATCACTGATGTGTCTACCTCTCCCTCTCCCTTCATCTCTAAAGTCAACAAATATATATTAAAAAAATTAGTCTGGTATATTTGGTCAAACATTTAATGAACTCACCCCTGATGCCTTGGCAGGGCCAAACCAAATGATTTCGAGGGTCTTATACTGCCCCTGGGCTGGAGGTTCCCCACCCCAACAATAAAGGATAATATAGGGTGAATCCTCCACACCCTCCTGCTCCCAGGGGTCGGCAGGCCTCCCGGTCAGCAGGGGAACTCGGCTGAGCCATCGTCAGGGCTAGTGTCCAGCATCCCTCTCAGACTTGGGCCCCCACCGCTCTGCTGGGGGTCCTGTCCCATCCCCACCGTCTATACAGATCTGGCCAGTCCTCATTCAGAGTCTGCAGAGCACCAGAGTCCGCTCCCAGCTGCTGGTTTCTTGTCCGCCAAGGTTATGGTGGAAAGTTAAGATTTCTGCCCCAATCAACAGGAATAGAGATTGAGGTGAGGGGTTGGGAGGTGGCCTTGTCCAGAAAACCCTTAGAGACTGAGATGCTGGGGCTGGGATGTGGGGTGGAGGTTGGGCTGCCATAGTCCTGCCAGACACTGACCCTGTATTATGTTCTCAAATATTATTGCAAAGTCAAGCAAGGTTGTGTGTCCCCCCCATCCAGGTGCATTCAGCTGAGATCACAGCTTGCTGGTGTGACCTGGTTGGAAACCTGCTCTGTCTGCCAGGTTGTGGCGGATAGGAGTTCCTCCGAACTCTCATCCCTAATCCAGGGCATTCAGAGAAAGGAGCTAGCCTGGCCCAGGGCGAGGGTTGCTGCAGATGGGGGGGGGGGGGGGGTGATGGTGGGAATGTGGAAGGAAGCGGAAAGGAACAGAGAGGAGGGTCCAAGAGGGGCCCCGCATTCTGTTTGACCTCAGACAATAACTTGGCCCCTGTGCCTGGTGCCTACATCTTTCTGCAAAGGAGGCTGAGATTTATGCCGGCAGCTCCCAGTGCGAAGTGGGGGTGCAGGGGGGATAAATGGATGAGTGAATGCGATGTGCTTTGCGAACCGTATGATTTGGCTCCGGTGTCGGATGCGCGCTGAAACCTTAGAGGACCCCCCCCCCCGCCCCCGTTCCAGCACCCACTCTGCCCCCCACCCCCGCCACTGGAGGGCAACTCTTTTGTTCACACCGTCGAATGAATATCCTGTTCAGACCGGGGATTGTCAGCCCGGAACCGCCCTCATTCCAAGTCTGGAGAGCTCCCAGGGTCGCTCCCGGGCGTTCCCTGGTCGGCAAAGCTTCGAGTAGTTTCCTAAGGCTCCAGAGGCTCCTCGCGGACCCGAGCCTCTCGGCCCAGCACCAAACGTCGGCCCAAAGACCCAAAGACTACGCGTGCGCACGGTCCCGCCTTTTGAGGCCTGTTTATTGACAAGTGGGACACAGGGCTCAGCGGTACTTCTCCGTTAGCACGATGGCCACGCCCGTCAAGAACTTATCCCACGCCGCCTGCATCTCCACCGTGAACTCGTCCTGTAGGTGGGAGGCCAGCACCACCTGGAAACACTGGATCAGCAGCTGCGGGAGAAGGGGGGGCGGGTGAAAGGGTGCCCCCCCAGTTCCTTCAGGAACCCCCCAATCCTCAGCTTCACGCGAACCCCCGTGCGGCCCGGGCTGCCTCACTGGGAAGTTGGCGGGGTCCACGCGGAGTACGTGCGCGTGCAGGTCCGCGAGCGGGCTCAGGACCGCGCGCAGGTTGTCCACGTGCTGCGCCGCCACGCCCACCGCCTCCAGCATTTGTCGTCCGTGGCTCAGCAGTTGCACCTCGTCGGGGAAGGCGCCCAGGTGCGTGAAGTAGAGCTTGGTGCTGGGGTACACGGTAAAGAGCCTGCGGGAGCAGGTCAGTGGGAGAGCGGGCAGCGTGGGATCCTGCAGCTCCTGCACCGCCCAGACCCCTGGAGACCCCGCCCCCCTCCCGGCCTCCCCCGCGCCCGTCTTAGGCCTGACACCCCTGACTCCACTTCCCTGCGTCCTGGAGACTCCCCCCCACCCACCTGAGTAGCAGCTCCGCCCCGAACGGCGCTTCGTGTCCTGCGATCAGGTCCCAGACCTGCGCGATGTGTGCGCGCTCCTGAGCGCTGAGCATGGTGCCGGCGAGGCGCGCTCTGGGGGCGCCGGCCGCCGCCCGGGCTCCTTATAGCAGCACCCGCCCTCCTCCACCGCAGGGCGCCCCGCCCGCTGTTGTGCGCCCCAGCGCCGCGGGCAGGCGGGCACCCTCGGCCTCAGGCCGCGGCCTCGGCGGTCCCAGGGTGACGCGCTGGCGTCGCTGAGCGCGGGGGCCTTGGCTGTAACGCAGACTTTAGCGGGATCTGCAGTGCCTTCCCTGCGGGCCAAGTTCCGGCTGCGAGCGCCAGAAGGGAGTCCGCGGAGGGGTCAGGAGAAAGAGCGCGGGGCAGGGAACCCCCTTTTCCCCGAGGGGCCTGGAAGGGAGCCGCATCAGGGGTCCCGGCGGGCAGCACGGGAGGTAGGACAGGTGTTGAAGAAAAGACCTTCGAGTCCTCCCCACACAACCCACACGCCGGCGGAGGGAAGCCCCATCTTTGCGCGGTTGGTAAAGACCAGAGCAAACAGCGGGGCGTGCCCGCGGCTGCGGGGCTCTCCCCCGCCTGCGCCCCGGGGGTCCGTAGGCGCAGGGGCCGCCCCCAAACGCGCCGAGAGTGGCCGCCAGCCCCGGAGTGAACTACCCTCACTTTGTTTCCTCCTCCCCCCTGTACCGAGGACACAGGACCGGCTCATTCCATCCTCAGCGGTTTATTGGGGAATTAAGGGAGGAGCAGTGGGCGGGCTCAGAGGTCAAGCAGAGGTCGCAGCCTGTCCTCTGGGGCTGCGCTCAGCGGTATTTCTCGCTCAGGACGCTGGACACAAGGGACAGGAACTTGTCCCAGGCGGCGTAGGTGTCGGCCGTGAAGTCCGAGTCCGCGGGTAAGTGCGAGGCCACCGTGATCAGCAGGCAGTGGGCCAGGAGCTGGCGGGGGAGGGCTGCTCAGCGCGCGGCTGGAGGGGGCCTTAGGGTGGGGGAATGGAGCCCTTTTCTTGGAGATCTTTCCCTCCTCGCATCCCGGCCTGGCCTCTGTCCTGACCAGCCAGGACCCCACCCCCGCGCTCACCTTGAAGTTGACAGGGTCCACGCGCAGAATGTAGGCGTGCAGCTCGCTCAGCTTGGACAGGGCGCTGGCGATGTCAATGTTCTTGACCGCGTCGCCCACTGCGGCCACCACCTTGGAGCCGTGGGAGCGCAGGTGCGCAGAGCCGGGTGCAGGTCCAAGTGTGGGAAGTAGGTCTTGGTCTGGGGGTAGCTGGCGAAGAGCCTGCGGATGGGGGGCGGGACGTGAGCTCAGGAAGAGGGGCTGCCACCTCTCCACCATCCCTCCCCTCTTCTCTGAACTGGAAGAATCCAAGTTTCACCCTGCCACAGGCCTTGCAAGCGTGGCAGGTCCCACTTCTCCCCCAGCCTGAAGTCTCCCACCCAAGCTCCACCCTCCTTACCTGGAGGCCCCGCATACCCTCCCACTACCCCACCTGGCCTGTTCCCACCACAGCAGCTCCTGCCTGGTCTCCTGGCTTCCAGCTGTGTTGGGGACTGTCATGCTGCTGGCAAAGTCTAAGCTGACCAGAGGACATGGCAAAAGCCCTGGATTCTACCCTATGTCGATCCTGGAAGGTTTTAAGGTCGAAGCTCAGGAAAGGCTTAAATAGAGTTTGCAGCAAAGCGGAACTAGACAAGGCTTGACCGAGGCACGACCTCTGTGGCTAAAAGTAGTAAAGGGAAAAAGTGCAGTTAAGCTAACATAACCTGATTGTCATAGTAAACATAGATAGATCTAGACAAAGCTTGCCCAGTCTTGCCCGGCCTGTAAGGATCTGCTACTTCCCTATGACAGGCCAAGCCCTAGCAGTGATCCATGAAGCATGACCAGCCACAGCTTAGTTATAAAACAATGTGTGTAAAGAATAAAGTTGCTGGTGCTGGTGCCTTGTGCCAGTCCTCCTAACCCCGGACTCTTGTATTTCATCCCACGCCACCTCTACCCCTTGGGAGCGGGCCGCCACAATTGGCGCCCGAACAGGGACTTGAAGGTGGGCTTCGTGAGGACCCCGGAGTCATAGTTGGCCGAGTCAAGTAATAGTAAGTTTTGGGGAATTTGTATTCATTAGGAGTAAAACATGGGGCAATTAGAGACCAAAGAGTGCTCTCTATATGCGCAGATGTTAAAGAACATGCTGCAGGCAAGAGGGGCTCATGTCACAACTTCACAGCTAGAGCGTTTTTAAAATTTTGTGCAGGAAATCTGCCCGTCATTCCCTGAGGAAGGGACGGTAAATATAGGAGTTTGGCAGAAGGTCGGACAAAGGTTATGTGATTTCCATTCTGCAACTCCCACTCAGACACCGGTTGATACATTTTTCTTATGGAATTTAATACGGGATTGTTTAGATCCCAGGCATGACCATAATCAACCATCTCTTAAGCCAGAAAAGAAGAAGAGAAATATTAAAAATCGCATAAGGAAGGAAGCACCTGCTCTTAATCTAAGAAATACTAGCTGTAAAGGATTGAAGTTTTTAAGAATAAGGAATTATAAGAAGAAGATGAGAAATATTAAAAGGAAATTAATCAAATAGTACAGGCCAGTAAGCCAAATGTAATAATTAATATCTCTTAATAATTATAAAAATATATAATCTTTAAATCATATATACACATATATATTTAATAGTCTTTCAAGTTAGATTTCAAAACTATAACCAAGGAATGACTTTAGGACATTTCATGGGCCCTGAAATGTTTTCAAAAGTTTATTCTCTTAAAGAATTTTTTAATAAAGCCAATTTAATATACTTAAAATCACATAAAAAGCTTTATTAAATAAAAAATTAATAAATATATATTTTAAGTTTTTGCCTCTAAGAAAGGGCAAAATAAGTTATTTTATTTAAAATTTCTTAAAATACAGCAATAAATTTTAAGATATAATTTAAAATAACAAAAGCTCCTTGCTACTACATTTTAAATATATATTTTATTGATTTTTTACAGAGAGGAAGGGAGAGAGATAGAGTTAGAAACATCGATGAGAGAGAAACATTGATCAGCCGCCTCCTGCACACCTCCTACTGGGGATGTGCCCGCAACCAAGGTACATGCCCTTGACCGGAATCGAACCTGGGACCTTTCAGTCTGCAGGCCGATGCTCTATCCACTGAGCCAAACCGGTTACGGCACATTTTAAATTAGGCTAGAGATAGGCAGTATTTACACCTCGTAAATCAGACATAAAACTTTACTAAATTTACTAACTTTATTAATAAAGATACCTACCATAAGAAGCCAGTATCTTTATAAGCAATTAAATCCTAGTAAAGTAAATTCTTCACTCATATTACTAGAATCCCCTATAATCCCCAAGGACAAAGCATAGTTAAAAGGGCACATCATTTCCTGAAAAATCAGATCTAAAAAACAAAGAAGGGGGAGCTAGGGGGTCCGTACTCTCCTCACCAAATATTACAACATTCACTATTTACTTTAAATTTTTTTGAATCTGGACGCGCAGGGTTTGTCTGCTGCAGATCGACAATGGACCACGGGAGCCCATCGGGCTGCCTCAGTAAAATAGAAGATCCTAACAGTATGGAGTTGCTAACTTGGGGAAGAGGGTATACTTGTGCTTAAGCTCCAGATGCAGACCCCAGTGCCCGAGTTTACAATCGGATCTCTGAGGAAGAGGCAGAACACGCTCCAGTGGAGGCGTCCTTGGCAGACCCTTCAGGCGGAGATGGCCCCTCCTCACCTGGGGCTCTTTGAAGAGGCTGGATGCGGAAGCTCAAAGCATTCACTCGAACTCTTCCTAGGAGTTAATTTTGGCTTTGATCGCCTTGACGGGACTCTTGCCAGTGACTTTGGCTGAGGTTCAGTGGACTCATATGATTAATCCACCAACCTTCATTCTGCAGACTTGGACTAATCCTGATCCTCCTTTGACTACAAACGACTCAGACTATCCTCAAGGCACTTGGGTGAGGCCCAATGGACATTTAGGGGACTCTCGTTTTCAAGCATTGTTTAACGAGACCCTCACCTGGAATGTACCCACTATTCCTCTGTATATTCCTTAATAGCTTTTATTATGTCTACTATGGTAATTATCTCTTCTGCTATAACATCAGGATTTGAACTAGGAAATGGGGCAAGTTTATATTAGTAGCTAGAGCAACGGGGCAAAATTGATTAATAAATACCTTGGTAACGGGACATTATTGATTAATTATAGTTTTATATAATTCACTTATGTTTTAGTAACTGCACTTAGCAACAATGATTGATTGTATAACTTTAAAATTACATGAGGAAATTATGGCTATATCTAATTCTGAGTCTCCTTTGCTTCCACCCTCAGAGGTGGCCAAACAAATCTTTGACACCCTCGAAGGGTGGTTTTCTCATTTTCATAGTTTGTCTATGCTATGGAGTGCTGCAATGACAATTAGCGTAATATTAATTATTCTTTATTTCTTACCAGTCGGCATCCGAATCCTCGGAGCCAGCTTGCGAGCTATCCAGACCTCCATCCATGAGCTTCGACTAAAAAACAAAGAAGGGGGAGATGTGGGGACCGTCATGCTGCTGGCAAAGTCTAAGCTGACCAGAGGACATGGCAAAGCCCTGGACTCTACCCTATGTTGATCCTGGAAGGTTTTAAGGCCGAAGCTCAGGAAAGGCCTAATTAGAGTTTGCAGCAAAGCGGAACTAGACAAGGCTTGACCGAGGCACGACCTCTGTGGCTAAAAGTAGTAAAGGGAAAAAGTGCAGTTAAGCTAACATAACCTGATTGTCATAGTAAACATAGATAGATCTAGACAAAGCTTGCCCAGTCTTGCCCAGCCTGTAAGGATCTGCTACTTCCCTATGACAGGCCAAGCCCTAGCAGTGATCCATGAAGCATGACCAGCCACAGCTTAGTTATAAAACAATGTGTGTAAAGAATAAAGTTGCTGGTGCTGGTGCCTTGTGCCAGTCCTCCTAACCCCGGACTCTTGTATTTCATCCCACGCCACCTCTACCCTGCGGGACCCCTTGGGAGCGGGCCGCCACACAGCTGGGTCTGCACTGCCCGCCCTTCCACTCCCCCTGCCATGGCATCCAGCCCCTTTCACCTCCTGTGACCAGAGGGGCCTCCTTCCGTCCCTTACCAGGCTTCCCACTTCACCTTCTGCCAGAAATAAACTCTCCAGTGGCACCCGGAAGGCTCTTCAGAGAACCCTCCTCTGACCACGGTTTCCTCAGGGTCAGAGTCCCCAATGTCAGTGCTGGTCGTAACCTGACTGCCTCAGAGGCAGTCAGGCCTCAGAAGAAACTTCATGCTCCTCCAGGTGCCTGTCCTGCGCAGGCCCCAGTGAGCCGGGGTCAGATGTCTGTGCAATTCATCTTCCCCAACTCACTGACCCTCCCCAGACAACCTCGGAACTCACTGACGCCTCCGCACTGTCCCCTGTCTTCACTGACCTTCACAACATTTGTTTACAATGATATGATATGTTTTTTAAATTAAAGACGTTTTAAATCATATACTTTTTCATGGGTTTTATATTTGCATCTCTTAGCATAGTTTCAAAATGATGAAAGCAAAGTTGGCTCCACTGGGATGTTGGTAATATGTGAGGGAGCTGAGCAAATAGGGAGGTGTTTGGAGAACAAGGGGAGCCGGGTTTCTCACTATCGCAGACGGAGGGCATGAACACGGAAAGGGACAAGACAAGGACAAGCCATGTGACACTGGACTGTAATTAGAGATACTGGTATGAGGTCACGGTTTCTAATATACTTAGCATATACAGGATAGATACAAGTGTGTATATTTACTGACGTGTATGTGTGTGTGAAAATATATCTCCTAGTTCTGTCCACTGAGACGACTCGCAGGAATAACATTCCGATAGCAATGAACACACCCCGCTCCCAGCTCTTGCTTTGCAGACATCATTCTCCGCTAGGAGGAAACGGAACTATGTGGAGAAATGGCTAATTTCATGCGGGTGCAGGGAAAGTACAAGAGGGGACTAGAACTTCTTACAGAAGAAACTAAGAAAGTACTCAAGGACGATGGGGATATGTCAGAGGACACAGAGTAGCCGTTTGAAGGGACTCCCACTGTCCAAATCTGGGACAGTTTTAGGATCAAAATAAAGAATGATTGGTAATAGATTATAACCCACTGAATAAAATGGGAACTGAGTTAATATGATATAAATTAAAAATGGAGAAGGAAAAGCTTTTCCTTTCAGTAGAATGCCTACTAATAAGTACAGAAAAGATGATGGAGAATTGCACTGGACAATCATCACGGTAGCAATTGATGTAGGCAAGAACCATTCATGGATGCTAAGACCAGTGGGTGAAATTATATAAAGAACAGATGGTATCTGAAGAAACCTGAAACACTAATTCGAAAGGATATATGCATCCCTATTGCAGCGTTATTTACAACAGCCAAGATCTGGAAGCAGCCCAAGCGCCCATCAGTAGAGGAGTGGATAAAAAAGCTGTGGTGCATTTACACAGTGGACAATTACTCAGCCATAAAAAGAAGGAACTCTTACCCTGTGCCGCAGTATAGATGGACCCGGAGAGCATTATGCTTAGTGAAATAATCC